TTCCATTATGTAGCACCATCCTTCTGATATGAATTTCCGAGGAAGTAAAGGCAGTAAAGCTGAAAGTCTTACGTGTCTTTGGGTGATAGCATCTTTTGTCAGATCCAACTGTTTTGCTTTTTTCCATACATTTTTGGAATAATGAAAGTAGCATCCTTTAATCACAACTGACGGAAAAACAATTGTAATGGCGTTCATTTCGGCTAGTTCAAAATCTGTTAAAAATTTTACGGGTTCCCACCCAGGAATGTTTTGTTTCAAAATTTTAAATAATTTTTTGAATCTTTCTTCTGTTTTTTTGTTATGTAAAACTAAGAAAAAATAAATAAGAGGAACTATACGAGTGTGATCTTCGTCACTTCCCAGATCTCCGTGGATAGTATATAACTGCACAAAAGGCTCAGGGGGTGCAATCGAATGTTCCGTCGCTTTATATTACGATTAAATAAAAATATTGAAAAACAAATTTACTTTGATTAGGTTTGACTGCGCTGACTGTACCAAATTCAAGTTGTTGGTATTCGTTCGTACATTAAATTAAATTATTTAAAAAGTAGTATCCGTTCGGAATAGAAAAAAAATAAGAGTTGAATCAAATACCAGTGGTATTAGTTTTTGGTATTAGAATGGAATAAATCATAAATACGAAATGCCATAACAAGTGGACATAGCTTGAGATATTAACAAAATGTTGAGAGAATATCGATAATAGTGATGTGAAGGCATGTAATCGATTGTTTTGTGTGAGTGCTAACTGTGTGTCGATTTTCCCGTTAGGGCTCACATTCGCCGGGCCCGCGCGCCCTATCGATGGGCGTATTCCCAATCCAAGCCATAAGGTCGCAGATTCTAGACCAGAGTGAAGTAAGATACAAGTATTAAGTCACCAAATATAAGTGTCGCCCCTATTTGAGAGCTTGCGACATTATATCGATGTTTAGATGCACCGCTTATCACTAGGTGTTTTATTTATTTTATCCTTTTGAAGCGACTATAGCTTTGAAAGTATCGACTTAAAGTTAAGCTTGTTTTTAATTTTGACTGTTTATTTTGCGTGTATGGTAAGTACGTAAGTGTAAGCTAGTGTGCATGACGGCTAATGTGCGTCCGTTTGTTTTTATTTTTGTTGTACTACATGTTTATTTTGTACAGTGCCAATACAATAACTCTGTAATCAGGACTAATATTAAAACCAACACACCATTTACTATATAACGAACATATCGATAGAAAAAATCATCGATAACATTCAACCACTAGAATACAAACCAGCACACCAAACTACCCCAATGCTCAATAGACTTTCAACTCTATTCCAACCTAATACAGTTGAATCTCAATTCACAAAATTGGTGTAGCTTGATCTGCTGCCTGCTGTGACCAAATACAAAGGTATCACTCGTGGTCGGTTTTCGCAGAGCCCACGATCTGCCCATCTGGCCCTGTGGTTCCCATTCCCTAACGCAGTATTCAAGGACCAACACCATCACGCATCAGACTTGAGACAGAAGGTTTGACAGGACATTACTGCTCACACCAATATCGTAAAAAGGGAGATAGTTGTCGTGGTGGCACTTTAACTTTGTAGTTGTTATTTATTACGTTATTGTAGAATGGGGGATGATGATAGAAATTCAGTCGGTGATTAAATATTTGACACGTCCGATGTGACTAATAATAGCTTGAAAATAAGATAACAGAGGCCTTAGTACGAGTTTGATTTATTTTTAAAGTATTCGAAACGTTTAAGTATTCGTACGCGTTCAGCGCTCTGATTGGCCGGCGCGCCAATGAAGCAACCAATCAGAGCGCCGAACGCGTACTCGTTATAATTACTTTAAACATAAAACAATATTGTACTAAGGCCTCAGGTCTAACCAACGTTGTACCTAAAGCCCTTAGCGAGTTGTTAACTGTGACACCTCTAGTGTTGCGCTGGGCGGCGTTAATCGCTTACCATCAGGTGATCCGTCTGCTCGTTTGCCTTCTATTCCATAAAAAAGAAGTTGTGAAGGGCAGTTGACAGTAAGTCCATGTAAAATATTAATATTTAGAAAATTTGATTAAAATTAAGTGCAGTGCAGATTGTAAAAAGCCAGAAGAAAGAATTATTTGTCTTATTGAAATAAGAAAATAATTTACTTTATGAAAATAAAGTTCAAGAGAGACACTATTAGTGACATCTTTACATTGCAAATAAAGTTATCGAGTATCTACTTTAGTTTAGAAAAACGTGTCAAATATTTTTCCTCAATCTACCAGATGGACATAAAAAAAAACAAATTTCAGTCATCTTCCCTATACCTAGCACTTGGTAGAACGGTTCTAAATTGGTTGGTTCCGTAGGTAGTTAACCGTTGTTTTGTTGATTTTGATTTATTGAGCTATCATTACGTTTTATTGTCAGTCAGTCTGTACGTATGTAAGCGTTCATATCCTTTCATGCATGTAGTGCCTGATTGTAGGATGAAATAGAGCTGAGGAAAATTTAGTGTTTTTTTTATTGTTAGGTATATTTATTCCTATTTACCTATCTTGATCTATGTTACTATTTTTTTTTATCTTATTATATCCTTAAATTACATTTTGGTCACATTGAGTTTTAATGTAATGCAATTTTAATTAATTTTAATTTATCATTCTCGTTAATTTGTCCTAGTTATTGTTTTAGTATCCAATTTATTATATAATTTTCCTCTTTCAATTACAAATTAAAGATTTTTATTATTATTTGATTATTACAAATGACTTTTATAGCATTTTAGATACAATCATTATATTATTATTAATTAAAATTATTTTATTACGCCTACGGAACCCCAGTTTTAGTGCATGCGACTATAAATTCCACATTATCACTGTATGTAGTTGCACCTTTATTGTGCCTGACTATAGATACGTAAAATTAGGCTTTCAATAGATAAATAGTACTATTTAAGTCATTTAGAATATACTACTAGTACTTGTAGGTAACTTAGCTAATCATTTAGGAGGTATTTTAGTAGTAAATAGTACTTACTGAATTGACTACAATTGACAGTTTACCCACATAAATGTACTGAGAATTACTCTTTATTAGTTTCGAGTCACAGAGGAACCCTCCCTCATGAGCAGTAGACTGCTCGACGTCGCCGCGCCCACGCATGCTGCTCATGACAAAGAGTCCCTCTGTTTTTCTAAGGTTACTCAGGCATCACTTACAAACGGTGAAGAAAAACATCGTGAGGAAACCTGGGCTTATAATTTCTAATTATAAGTTTGAAATCGCATTGAGCAAGCGTTGTGATTAATGCTCAAACCTTCTTCGTGTGAGAAGAGGCTTTGCTCAGCAGTGGCCATTGATAGGCTGCTGATGTATTGTAAATCGTAATTTTTAGTTAATTCAGTATGTCCTACGGTAGTTATTATAGTTAATAGTACGGATTAGGATAGCCAAATTCTTTTTTTTACTTCAGATTTGTAGTCTAGAATAATACTCATATTCATACATTATTCGTCATTAGAGACCTTGTTATTATTTGCTATCGTCATAGACTATAGATTAATATTTTAAGCCCCTAGGGACCTTTTTACATAGTCTAGGTTCTTTTTTATTGTTGTCTAATATAGAACTCAATTATATTATATAAATGTTAATTTTTATGAAGTCTCCTATTGCATGGATTTAGTTAAACATCTTTGTTAGTATACAGGTTGTTATTTTTTCTTAAATTTGTTATACTGGTGTTTAAATAAGTATGACCAGTTTTAAAAATTACCAGGTGAATTAAATGTCGTGTAATTAGTTTTTAGCATTTTAAGGTTAGTGTCATTTTAATGGTAGGAACAGAGTCAGCAGAAGTACGGTAGTGAGTATTAGTTCAATTAGAATATCTAGATGTGTCATAATCCTATAATATACTTGTAGAAGTCATTAATTCTAGATTAGTTTCTCATAAACCTAGAATGTCAAATAGAACATTTCAAACTCTTGAATTGGATACACTATCTCTTTCTTTCTTTCTTTTTTTATGAAAGGTCCGAAAGAGATAGCGATTATGCAGCAAATAGAATTATAGTTTAATGGTTTGATATTATGGTTGGAATTTCAATGAATGAAATGTAGAAAGATTCAGGCCAAGTAGCATCTCTGATCATCATTGGAAATTCAACTATATAACCATATCTTTAAGGTATATTTCTCTTTGTAACATAAAAATTCCTTAAAAAGGCCTAAATGTTGATATATCTTGAAAACTAATTAGAAATGTATCGTTAACAATGTAATATGCTTTCTCTCGATGTTGTGGAGTCGGCTCTTACTTGAGCTATTTGATTTTGTTGCATGAACTGTCATTTCATATGTAATTTGTACACGTCGATCATCAGTGATAGTGCAATACAGTGATAATATATATTATACTCTATTGCGAAGAGTTTAAGGTTGAAATTCGCTTGCAATTTGGCTAAAGTAGACATTTTGAAATTGTTGATTGTTACAATGTTTTTCTAACCATATAAACAATTTAGCATAATTCCTATTGTAGTTACTTGTGTTATCTTTGATTTCCTAAGGTTAAAACTTATGAAGAATTTAAGAGGTCTAAAATATTGCACTGTCACTAATAACAATTGTAGAACTGTATGTGTTTATATTGAAATACTCGCACTATAAGCACAAATCACTTGTACACGTTTACTAAAACTACACCACTAACTGTGACGTCATCGAGATGTTGCTAGACCAAAATATTCTGTAGTAAAAAATATCATTATCAAGTCTAATAAGTACCTAAAAATGTGACCACTAAACATTAAAGTTGATTTAAAAAGTACATTTTCTATCTTTAAAATTAATTGGTCACCCCAAAGCGTGTTTGACATTATGAAACGTCAACACGCAACCACCACAGATAACCTAACCTTTGTCAAAACAAAAAAAAACATTTAGACAAAATTTTAACCTTGAAAAAGCAATCATCTTTCCATAAACAATTAAAACAATATTCTAATATTATTTTAAATCGTTCCAGCTGTTCACATTATGGTCGTGGTTGCCAGTTCGCATCACTATGTACCAACCAGTGTTGCTATATACGACTGAGGAGCACGGTTGCTCGTTAACCACTTTCTACGTCAGGGTGGAACACCATGAACCAACATTGCTCATGATCAAGACATGTAATAATGAGGTAAGGGTTTAAATTAAATAATATCTATTGTATTTAACTGTTTGACGGGGATACTCGACTAGTTTCAAGCCTGAATATGAGGGTAACCTCATTCAGGCTTGAATATATTACTATAAGCAGCTCCTTATATTACTATAAGCAACACGACGATACGGCAAACGTCGCACAGTTGCAAGATGAAAATATGCGAGGTTTTTAGTATTTACGAATATTTTATAACGTAGCCCTTCGCTAGGATTCTTTTCTGTATCGTGGTTGCTTAGGTGCGTTGACAAACGTATCACGCATAATGCATTATTTATAAAACTAGCGACCCGGCCCGGCTTCGCACGGGCGCAATATACATGTAAACCTTCCTTAATCTAATAAAAGAAACCGCATCAAAATCCGTTGCGTAGTTTTAAAGATCTAAGCATACATAGGGACAGACAGACGGCGGATAGCGACTTTGTGTTTTATACTATGTAGTGATGTATTAAGTCTGTTTGTCAACCTTTTTTTCATGCTGATTTATGTCTTCTTAGTCAATAGTCAAAAGAATGAGATAAAGTAATTCCTAATCTATAATTGCAGGTATTCGGTGCGTATTGTTCAACGAGATGGTTTGAACGCAACCAAAAGGATGAGCGCGGTAACCGACAGGCTTACTTCGGCACCGGAGAGACATTCCTCTTTAGGTAACAATTATTTCCTACTTTATTATTTGCTTCTATTTTGTTTTTTTTTTAATATGTACATACAACTATATTTTTGAAACAAGATCGACTGCTGAGCAGAGGATTTTGCTGAGAAATTCGAGTTCGATTTTTTTTTTAAATGCAATAATGTGTATTAATTTTATGTTATATATTATTTCTTACCTTATATTTATTTTATAACAAAACTATTTTTCAATCGCGGTCAGACGGTTAATTTTAATTATGTGAAACTTTGGTAGAAGAATTATTTTAACAAATGATTATATTGTCCGTCGCTTCTCTTATTCATTTTGCAATACTGCTCTTCGGGTAAATGCTGGTAATTTAGTGATTATTTATGTATTGTATATATGTTGTATACCTAACCTAACCTTTATTATGATAACAAGATGAACTAACCTAGAATAACACTTCTGTATTATACATATGTTTAAAACAAACCTAGCCACAAAGTAACAAAGCCAAAAATAATAGTCAGAAAATCCAGTCAAATATCTGGTTATTAAAAACTTGAAATATAATTAATAAATTGCATGCACTATCTTAAAATCCGTTATGAAACTGAAATATTTGTATTATTCAATGTCCCTATCGTATGTAATTTGCCATAATAATTCCTAGTTTTGGTAGATCAATGTATTAATAATGTAATGCGCTGGCCGTATCTGTATGTATCCATATTTTAACAAAACCATAATTTATGTCTCTACAAATCCTTCTAAATTTAGTTCCAATGAAATTTGAAATACCTTAATTCATACATTAGTTATTTTAAAGCCAAGAATACATTAGGACACAAATGTCCCAGTCAGTCAGACACGTGTTGCCAGCGACGTTGGGTAAAGTAGTGCGATGTCACCCGACTTAAGTCGACATGTCTGGCAACATCAACGTCGCACTGGACATAAGTCGCCGAGTGTCCCCTAGTGTATTCTTAGCCTTAACCACATTGTATAACTCTTTATGTTCAAGAGTAGACTACATTAAAAACTAAACTTATTAAAAATAAAGCATATTTTTGCTTGGCAACGCATAACTAATGTATAAATCCGAATATGTTAAATATTCACCCGAAACAAAATAGTATACCAGTATAAGAACAAAGTATACCTAAATGTTTAACCCCAAGTGCACATAATAAACCTGTACAGTCATAGCATGTTGCATCAACCCGTCGTTCGCTTACAGCCTTTATCCGGAGCGCGCAAAGTACCCCTGGGTGGGTTGCACGACGGGAGCCGATGGGAAGGGCGAGGAACGGGTCGCTCATGGCTCAGAACTCTTCATGGCAGCAGACTCGAAGATGATCACCATCGGCGGAGGGTCAGTTCTTATCAAATCATATTAAAATTCCAGCTTGCATCCACTACGAGCAAAATACCCGTGGGTCGGATGTCTAGAGGACAATGTTGAAGGTCCAAGCGATCAGAAAGAGGCCAGGACACCACACGCCAATTCTCTCTTCATGGCCGCTGATAATACCATGATTACAATCGGTGGAGGGTATGTCGAATGAACGTGTGATCATTATTGTGAATGAGGAATATCGTTTTTGCGCTTCGTAGGTGGCGCTAGTGGAGATTAAAGTCTTGTTCATTTAATCACTGTTACTTATCAAAACTGGATTGCTTATCTTTATTTATTAGATATAAGAAACCTTATTATTCACTAGCGCCAAATTCAAGCGCCTTTATAGAATGATGCCTGTTTTCATACTCTGGGTTCGACTCCCTGAAGAAATTCCTGTTTGATGTTGCCTACAATATATGAAACTTACCTCCAAGAGTGTGTCCTGTACCTTGAATATGTCTCCTAATTGGAAAGTAAGTGTACCTCCCCAAGTGTGAATGGATGGGTGTCCGCATGTTTTTGTTATTCATAGATATTGTTTCCTATTTTCGATGTTGTGTTACTTTTTGTGATTTATGTATTTTCTTAATGTCACGCACATTTTAATCTGATTTTAATCACGAACCCCAATATTGACTTGGGTCCCATCATTTACATACACTGTGATATACATAAATTTGTTGGAATGTGTGTCTATAATATGGTTTTTGTGTTCGACAGTGACGGCCAAGCGATCTGGATGGACGAGAACATAAGGTTCGGCAAGACTGACCGCTGCTCGACCTTCAACAACCCGCCGCTGTGCCCGAGCGGGGACTTCGAGATCAGAGTCCTCGAGGTGTACGGCTTCTCGGGGGCGTAAACCCCCCAACTTGAATAATCTCGATATCACCATAGTTTCATATCCCCCGTGTGATAAATGTTGTGATCGCTTCACTCTGCTGAAGCGCTACATACGAGTGCGTGCCGGTCGAGGTTATCAATAGATCCCCAGGGATTTCATCCGCCATTATCTCGCCAATCCTCACACACTTCTGTGGACCCGTGGCGCCAGTGCCACGCACTGGGTACCCGGTACCCACCCTCACCATATTTCAGAGGAAATCCCCCACGAAGCGATGTATTGATCACCCTTTGCCGATATAACAGACTGTGTAGATGTATTCCTAATATTTATTCTACAAGTTAATCTCGGTGTGGACCCCGTAGCTGTCCTTTTCTATTCAAAGCTGTCCGTTTAAGACAACGAAGACGGGGAATGTAGGTTGTTTAAATATTTACTCGTGTTTAGAATGTGTAAGTACAAAAATTTTGAATGTATCGTACCTACTCTTGATGGATTAAATAATACGCTTATTATGAAAGCAATATGTATCAGTGGGGCGCAGCCGTGCGGTGGGAACGTTCGGGGACTCGGGCGATGCGAACATTCCAGTGACTCGATTCATAACATCGTTCTCTCATTGCGACGACTCAGCCGAGTCGTACGACACGTACGATCTAATTCGGTCCAAGCAACAGTATTTCGGTATCGTATTGTATGTTCATTATTGCTTGTTAGGATTTATACTCGCTGAAATTTTGTCGTTGCTCACAAAAATGTACCAAAGAGTTTATCTTGTAATGAATTTATTTGTGACTCGATGCTTCGTCATAGAATCACGGCGATGTCGCACTACATACGAACGATATGATCGCGACCACAGACGCTCAGCTAACTTGTAGCTTGCGAACAAATATAGTATATCTGTGCTAATATCGCAAACAATTTCGCTCCTATCACGAAGACGGAAGGTTCATCTCTCACTGCCATCGTTCGCAGTCAAAATAGTATTATTTATTATGTATTTCAAAGGTGATGTGCCAAAATCGGACCATATAACGAATTGGCTTTACTATGAACTCCGGGTACCAATCTGGATTAATTTCTTTTATACATAAAATTTATGTAAAAGTGATTTTACATTTATTGTATATGTTTATTAACGAAACGTAAGTGGATTAGTTTATTTTTGTTTTATCGAAAATGTGTCGAAATTATTTTAGTTAGTCGGTTTGAGTTCGTCTGTCGGACTGTGGTTGTTGTGTTGAAGTTAATTGGTGTGCTACTAACAGTTAGTAGTAGTGCCGTTGATATTAAGTTTAATAAGTGTTTAACTAGGGCGAGGGGATTGTTGACGGTGTTGGTTTCGACAGACGGACGTCAGACACTCGTGAAGCAATGCAGGCGACGTGTAGGTACAGTGGGGAACGATAGAAATGTGCAAACATGTCCCTCGCGGTACAAAGGGGTACAACGTGCGTTCGTGTCACCCGCGGCTTATTCCGCTACGGTTTATTTGTAAATATTATTTTATGCAGTCCCCTAACTACCGGACCATGCTCGACCAACGCTTTACAGTTTAATCGCCGCACGAGGCCCGGACGGATTGTTATGTAAAAATGTTCACATGTACCTGAGTAATGTGTTTATATATTATGTGAAGTTGTGAATGTCGTTAAGTATTGTAGCCCATACACAAATATTATATCGTTTGGTTAATATAGACATTCTAACTTTTTGAATATTTATAAGGTATTTGATTTAGAGGACGTTAGTTTAGTATAGAGATTTGAGCGACCCGGTGCGTGGTCTGTTCAATTTAATACGCGAAGTTGCCTCTTGAGCATAGTACAGCTCTATAGTATTTAAGAATGAAGTTAAACTCAACATAACAAGATGAAATTATGGCTCCGATTAAACTGCAAGGGTGGTCTCTAACACGGCATGGTCGCTACTTAGTGGGCTGTGCGTAGCGATGGGTTTCGTCATGGTACTACATGCTATATGTTATTCAGAAGCCTAAGACTCGTTTTAAATTCAAATTATTTATGTAACTTATTAATTAGGTAACATGTAACGTTTATATTGTATGTTATAAAGCGTCTCTCTGCGGCCGACGGACTCACGGTCACATGTTTTTGTTTTTATTTTATGAAGTTAAGGAGATCAAAGTCTTCGGTCTGCGCAGTCGAGGGCGGCACTAACTGTTTGTATGCGGTCCTCGCCTGCACGGCCGTGTCGATATATTTATGTTATGTACTAAGGTCGCCCGCACAGAGACGACCCTCGCGATATGTTGCTGTTAGCCAATTGTCGTTGATCAGTGTAAAGTCTAGTCTTTATCCTGTTTTTATTATCTCTAACGATATAATATTATGTAAACTATATACAAATTGATATTTAAAAAAAAGTTCGTGCGTTTTTTGCTCCATTATGGAGCGCGTAGGCTCGTGGTTAGTTAGTATATAAGTACATTTAATATATGTAAATTTATTAATCTCCTTTTTCCTTTTCAGTATTGTGTCGTTTTTTTATGTGAGGAGCATATCATTGTGTGACATGAATGTGAGGCGTGGATGTAGAGAGCTTTGTTTTGTTACTATGTACTGTTACATTCGAATAGTTTAGTCCGCTGCGCACGCGACGGTCTCAAACTCGTTTATGGTAATGTAAATGTTGCTTCATAATGTGTAAAAAAATATATAATCCTATATACATGTTGTTGTTTTCATTATTATTACCCGTCTGACCTGGTTACCCCTTGTACCTGGTACCCATGTGGATCCGCCGTCCCCGTACGGGGACAGGTCTTCTTCTACCCGCTGGTTTTAAATTTTTTAGCTATCTTCACATTTTATGGGTATTTCTAATGAGGAGTAGTGTACTTTCCTAAAATTATTTGAAGTTTTGACACATTGGTATAAAAAGGGGGTCATATTGTCGATTTTATCGAGAGGCGTTTTATAGTATGTTATTATGAAATATTTTAAAACTTTATTGTGATTATTGCTTGCTTATAGTGTCAATTAGAACAATATTGAAGAATATCCTCATACTTTCAATTCCACTTAGCGGGAAGTTATAATTTATGATGGTGTATGGGGACAATGGTCACATTCTGTAGTATACTGTTAAAACATTTAGACCTGATTAGTATTTTGTTTTCTAATTAATAGAGTTCACCTATAGGCTAGACTTAGTTATAGCTAATACTTGGTGACTACAAACACTAATTCACGAAGATCATCATCAATATAACCTTACGCGTTCATATGTAAAATCTGATGGGTATCAAGATCGAAGATGCACAACGACATCTGCAGTACCAGTCGTCGCATCCGATATCAGAATTCAGCGGTAGTGAGTCAATTCCTCCAGCTGTTTTCTGGTGTAGTCACTGCGAGGACCACTCAGAGGATAGAGTAGCATTATGCCCTGTATACGTTGAGCACCGCCGTGTCCTCAGGGAAGTGATCGACGACGATAATCTTCCACGTCCGGCTTTGGTTCTGGCTGTGGTGCAGAGCGAGGGGAACTGGAAAACCATTTCTTTCTGCGAAGCAGTCATGCTAGCTAGGGCAGTTCGCCGCCCTGAACCAGACCTGGGGGCTTACTCTTGCATCCAATTCCGATCGATCGACATTGTTATTGTGAAATTCCGTACTCTTGAGTTGCAACACTAGCGCCCATTGCATCGGTATTGCGTGGGTATTGAATGGACTAAATGGTAATGAATTTGTCTTTAAATTCCGTACTCTGAATGCTATTTCAACAGCTACGATAGGGCCTGTAGGTATAGTTTTGACATTGAATAATTATTGAGATTTTATTGGATCAAAGTGCGCGCGCTTCAAAGTGCTATCAGACCGTCATAAATTGATATGGCCCAATAGGACTAATGCCCGAACACTGGATAAACTGGCGGGTTAACGGGGCTCCGGTTTGAAGCAGAATTAGGAACGTGTTGGAGTCAGTAAGTCTCCCAGGTGGAAAAAATACCTACATGATTTCTACCCTCAAAAAAAATATTGGCGCGTCACATCAGATCGATTTGACATTTTCCGCAGAGATTTAGGTAATATCTGTTACGACGCGCAATTCGCCATTAGAAAAAATGTGATATCAATGCAAATAATGCGTTGAACCTTATGTATCGAAAATAGTTACTACTTCGAAAAGTACTACACATGAGTCCATTGTCCCCAATCAAGGACGGCATTTTCTAAATATACTCATTGAGTTAGTTAAGGTTTTTCTCTTATGTGTAGTTTGTATTTTGGGTCCAAATGGGTTAAGCTTGATAAAATTAATGTGTAGGTGTTTCCCTTTTATTCAAATTGAAATAATACTTTATTGACAGACATTTCAATTATAACAATTATGACTGCCTCGTTGGCCTAATGGTCGCAAGTGCCACTGCCGGGCAATGAGTCTCGGGTTCGATTCCCGGGTCGGGCAAAGCATTACTGGATTTTTAAATTCTCAGTAGTAGCACGAAGTATGGAATTGTGCCCAGTATATGGCAATAGGCTCACTCCTTACCCCTTCGGAGATAAAAGGCGTGATGTTATATTATGTTGAATTATAACTACAAATCATTCTGAAGTAAATTGTGTACATTCTGTCAATAAAGATTTCAGTAATATAATACTTTATAACTAAGTTAGGTTAGGTTAGGTTACCTAGTACAACTTTGTTATTCATCAGGATAGGACTAAAATCAAATGATGAAGTTTGCAGAAATGAAACAGGTTGTCAAATAAAAAAAAAACAATTTTATTACATTATCTAGTATCAACATTAATTCCTCCGACGACTTCTACGGTTTTTTACTCTTCGAGACGATGACATGTCGGTTTCTACAGGTTCACTATCCAACCATCTTTTCATTTCGTCATGAATACTCTGAACCCTATCAATTTCTAGGTGAAAGCGGTAAAAATCATAAGGTTTCATTTTCCCAAAATAATTACATATTATCAAGGCTAAAGGATACTTCACTTTCTCTACAAAATCTTTTAATTCCTCTTTATCACTTTCTTCAAAAGATGAACCATCTTTATCAGTGTGTAAAATAGACCATGTTGCTTTCCACATATTGTAACTTGGTTCAAAATATTTCTCCGGTAACCCAGTCAATTTTAATTCCATTACAATTGTGCTCGTTGCCATTAGAATATCAATTAAATCTAAATCTATTTCTTTTTTAACAACCAATTTATCTTCATAATATACTAGTATTACATTTATAAGAGTGATGACACTTTCTTTACTACCCTCAAACATTTCGTATGCATCCGTAAATTCAACAAAGTTTAGTACTATCTGGAGACTTATAAAAAAAATTCTTTCTAATCTGATCTTAGAACATGTTGCTTTATTATTCACTGCCATCTCAGTAAAGGCTGCAGTCAGACAGTCTAAGGCATCTGGTACGACAAATAGTGTATAGAATTTTTCGCGAAACTTTTCAGTATTACAATATGAACACAGACTATTTAAATTCTCTAAGGCTGTGAATAATAAGTCTAAGTGTGAGGAATTTTTTAGAATAAAGTATAAAGCGGAGGAATAGTCGACAGTAACGAACAGATTCATCCAAGTTTCCATTTCCTCGTCGTTCGCTAAAAACAAGCAACCACTCACTAATCTTAGCAATTGAATTAATACTAAACTCTCGTCTGTGTTTATATGATACATCATAAAAGATAATAAATCGTCCATCTTCATCAAAACACTTACAACTTCCTTGTGGCAGCACATATTTCCAATGATGCCGATAATAACATCAATAATTTTTGAGGTTTCAATAACGGGTAGAGCGAAATTGATAAGTTTCAAAACTTCGTGTTTCTGCAAAAATAACACAACGTCCTTCTCCATAGTCATGTCCCACAGTACGCAAATATCATCTACAAATGATTGTTTTTCTAATTCTTCTTTTAGTCTATCCAAATTAGCGAAATTAAGTAAAATTTTTAGAACAAATCGCTCGCTGTACGCTGTGTTGCCAATCACATCGCCGGCGACTTGACTCGAAGTTTCAGCATCTTCCATTTGCTCTGCCATAATTTTATATACAACTTATAATATTATTTACAATTTTTATTTTAGTTCTATAGCTTAATATTAAAATACAATAGAATTACGATTCTAAATAATCGCACGTCAGTGTCACACACATTTGACAGAACTGGTCAATTGGTCATTGATGTAATGTAATGAATGAACTATAGAAATAGCGAACGAAGAACTAGATAATTATGTAATAAACATAGCTTTTCTGAAGTAAGTTACAAAAATTCTAAAATCATTCAGAAACATTATACATGCCATGTGAACGGGGTTACTGCTACAGTCACAGTGGCAGATTAATATATTAGAGTTGAGTTGAGTGACTTCTAACAATCACTATAGAGAGGAGTCTTATGCGTTTCAATTGGAAAATTACCGTAATTACTTTCAATCTAGCCAAACTACAATTACACAATCCTAAGTGCCTGGGTTTGGTTGTTTGCGATGTAGTTAGGCGATGTTTCTTTTACATGGGGCCTCTCTTCCTTTCTAGCCTAACCGTTTCCAGTATTATTTAGGTAAAACAAAGTAATTTGCCTAATTTCATTGATATTTTATATTTATTAATACATTAAAAAATAATACATGAATCAATAAATCATTGTGTTTATAACTTTAGATTTTTATGCCATATTTTGGTACCTAACAACGTCGTCACAATTCAAATGTTTGTACAGAAATAATAAACATAACACATTGGTGTCAAAAGATGTTTAGGTAATTAAAATACAATTTTCCAGTAACATTTTCTAGCAGTAAGTAGATATACCAACTAATTTTATACAAAACCTGAGTGTTAGTTTATTTCCTTATAACAAGCAGCCGAATCGATTTCGATAGTATAATTTTTATATAATGTCATATTGTTACCAACGCCTTAAAAACTAATTTAATAATAATTCTTTTATAACGTAGTTTACGTTTAAAACATTTACTTCAAACATCTTTTTTTGAAGTTAGTTTTTTATTATTATCATTAATTAATACACAAAAACTTCTCCCATGTGTAACATACACTTTTCTGAAAATTGCATTAATACAATACATAATACGTGTCAAACTGACCACGACCTCATTTTTTCTTTTTGAAGTCGATTAAAAATAGTATACCACGCATCCAAGTTATTCAGCGTAGTTTATGGTTACCGATGTTTCCTAATTTGTAAACGTATGTTTTTGTATGAACAACTTGGTGTCATAACAATTTTTCACGATATTTTACCTACCTACCTAAACAGATTGACATAACAATGTTTTCGAGTTCCGTGTTTCGCATAAACAAAAAATTATATTGTAAAGTAGGTATCAAAAATCCAGTAGTTAATTGACATTGTCTGTTTGGTACAATCAAGTTACTAATCACACTCACATTTATGTGATATTTATATATTAATTAAGGCTGGTTTTACAGTAGGTACCTATATTATTATAAATGTCATCATAGTAAATGTTCCTGGTCATCTTGGAGGCTGAGTGCTGACAAATATCAACACCTCGTGTATGACCTGCCTTTGCCCATTGGCGTGAGAGTAAAACAAGCCAAAGCCAAACAAGTAAAACAAGCAACAAACAAGTTCTTGAACTTTTTAAACTGCATTAAATGTGTTAAGTTAACGTACCTAAGTCACTTATTAACCTAATAATTATTACTTTTAGTAAATATTTATGGTAATAAGGACATCTCCTTTAAGAATTGTGCAAGTTATTGAGTATTAAAAAATAAATTACACTGTCGCTTTGGTCCAAATTACACTGTCACTGTTTAGTTTGGTCGCTGTAGATTAGTTGGTGGTTTGTGTTTGAAAGTCGCGAGAGCTACAGCTGAGCACAAGGTTCTTATAAAATATTTTTTTTTTAAGGGGGGAAAATCATCGAATGACTGCCCCCGCCTGGGTGAGGCGGGAGGGAGTGTCAGACTCTTACTGACTAAAAACCACCCCGTTCCTGCTCCTGCACGTCGAGCCGGAGCCCCGGTTACCCGTTAGGTTCTCCGCGACTCCGAATCGGCATCGGCCCTATTGGGCCCCATCTGTGGTGGTCTGATGGCTCTTTGAGGCGCGCGCGGAACGCGACGCGCCGTACGCTCGGGTCTGTTTCTGGTCGGACGGGGAGCCACCCATGCTCGCCGTCCGCAGGCCCGCGCTTACGGTGGCCGGAGATCGTCCCGCGATCCCCGACGCCCGGTGTGTCCTTCGCGATGGCTGGGTTGCGAGGAGGCAGCGCTTCGCTGCCTCACGCGTCCCGCCTCCTCCTTAGCTAGCATGACTGCTTCGCAAAAGGAGGAGACGGCATCCCA